ATTTTTCTCTTTAGATTTAATAGTAAAATTATACACTTAGGGTTCCGATGATTATGAAATCGGTAGTAATAATAATAATAATAATGAAGACAATCCTCTCAATAATACTAGCAACCAAGAGCTACATCCAACTGAACAAAAACCTACAGTGACTACAAATGATATTGAGATTCAAGCACAACCTGATTTAGATGATCAACAAACATCAACTGAAGATATTCTATCAACTAAGTAATTTTGTTCTAAAACGATCTACGAGGAATATTGAGTAGAAATTTGCACCTCCCTCCCTCAGGTAGAACCCGTTCAGTCCAAGATTTTTGGACCCGAACCCGCTTGTTTAAAAGATGTTGGATCCGGATCCGGCCGCTTAAATTTTTTGGATCCAAGCACGATGATAAATCAGTTTTGATAATATATTCAAAAAATGTTTTTTTGTCTATTTCCTAAATGCATTCAATTTTTTTTTCTTCATAAAACGAACAAAATTTTGAAAAAATTCACAATACATTGTATGCATCAAAGTTTTCTTCAGAGCTGGATCCGACCTGGACCCAGTCACAGCAAAGCTTTCAGGCCCGAAAACCGATCCGAACTCGAGCGGGCCCGGATCCTATCCGACGTGTTCTACTCCCAGGCATCCCTACCAACATCTTCCCTTCATTGGAAACCGTGACAGGCATAACCATAGAGACGTCACATACTGTAGATCAATAACATCTTGTTATTATATAACGGATGACCCATAAAGATTGAGACATTTTAATTTTCTTTTTCTATTTTGCTCTTCAAAATACGTTTCTCCTGTTGTAGAAAAATCGAAAAGATTAAACATGAGTTTCGAAATACCATTAGGTGTTAGTTCCAAGTTTTTTGCATCTGAATGACATCATTAGGAGCTTTGCGAAGATTAAATTCTCTACTGAACGAACTTGGAATAGCGCCTTTGAACAATGTATGAATCACGCATTATAAACTACTTCCTTATTGCATTTTTGGAGGATTAAATAAAATGATGGTGAAGAAATATATAGCAAAATAGAAATAACTTTTTTTTTTTTCTATGTCATAATTTTGGTTTTTATCTAGATCGCTTATTATGCGTATCTATCGACCTATAGGAATTTTAAAGACGAAATTTCAATGTATTATTTATGCTCATGGACAAATATATAAAAGCAATGTCTTTAAGTTTAATGTATTTATTGTCGTTATGTTATTTTCTAAATTGTAAATTGATCTTTGTTTTTTAGAAATCGAATGTATCAATAAATGAAAATAAAAAAACTGTTAGTCGAACAATAAAATCAATTAATTCGAGTAAATTTTATTATTAACAATTAATAAGACTTCTCTTTTTTTTATTTAGAAACTAAAAAACGTAATGAAGTTTTAACAATTCTAAATGATAATGATATTAATACAATCGATAGAGAGCAAAATGATGAAATTCTTATTCCAATGCCAAATGTTTTTAAACGTCGTTCATTATTTCAAACTGCTATTGATCCAGATGCTATAAAAATAGATATTTTCGGTGATGAAAAATTTTGCGGATCATTAATTCTTTCATCTGAAGATTTACACATGCTTGTAAGTATTAATAATTTATCAAATAATTACATTAAAAAAAAACCAAACAAGCAAACAATATATTTAGAATTTACCAAATTTATATAATTCAATTTCATCATCATTAATAGCTATTGATGATAATGTATCTAAAACTTCACTAGAAAATCATCAATTTAATTTTGATGATATATCAAATAAACTTTATCAATCATGGATTTCTCGTACACCACATTTATTTTCAATTTATAATAATAAACATGAATCAATTGGCAAATTACCATTAATTATGTTTTGGTATAATCAAATTGAACAAACTCATGCAACAAAATGTACAAGTAATATTATCGAATAATAACTTTATAGAAAAGAATATAGGGTAAGATTTTAGAATACTTTAAATTTTTGTATTTGTGTAGTGACAATTCCAATGGAAATTGAGAAACCAATATCGAAAATAATTCCAATTCAAGAAAATGAAATCAATGAAGAAGTGATTTCATCAATAATTGATGAAAATAATAAATCAATTGATTTCGAACTAATAAATGATCATATTGAAACTTTAAAACAAAGTTATGAAAATGAAATAGCTAAACTTCATGAAGACTATCAGTATGTGCATGATAAAATTTTTTCTTTTTGCTATAATTAAATATATTTATATATAGAGCGGAAATTTATCGATTAATAAATATTCTTAATGAAATATTACCTAAACAATCAAATCAAATGATTGAAATATCACAATCTAATGAAAATCAAGCTGAAATGATTCAACAAGATCCATTAAATATAAATATACGGTATAGAAGATTAATATAAAAACAAAAAATAAAGAAATAATGATTCATTTTATAGACAACGACTACGACAAAATACAAGAAGTAAAGTTGTTATGGAGCATCAACCATCACCAGTTTATGGCAAAGATCTTCCGAAAAATGTAAATTGTAATGATTTATAGTTCATTTGACTTGAGAAGGCGCTTTTAAAATTGATCTAACAAAATACAGCAGAGAATGATAGTCTTTTGAGGCTTCACAATAGATGAATTTGATCATATATAGTAATCTTTTAGAAGGAAAAGAAAATCAAATATTCAGAATTCATATGTTATCATATATAATCTTTGCTGTAAGCTTTCATTATTTCAAATAAGTCAAATAACTAAAGTTTCTATATATTATAAATCAGAGTTTTTAGAATATAGGAAAAAAGATATATCTAAACCAGAGATGTTGGCGGGTTAGCCCGTTTTGCTTCAACCCGCCCGATCCGTAACCCGCGGGCCGGATTAGACCTCTGACGGATCACGGGTTATATTTTTATGTGAATCCACAGGCTCAACCCGTTTATGAATTTTGCTTTTCATCTTTAATTTTTTTTTCTACATAGATTTACGCACGCATTCGTTTCATTTCTAACTTTCCCCGATGATTAGTTTTGTCTTTCCCACTAATTTTTACTTTAACAGCAAAATTCTTTCAATCATTTGTATTGACTATATCTTGATTCTAGTCGTTCATCTAATTGTTTCGAAGCATACAGATACATGAATGCGCTTCTCTTTCGGAACTTGCTTGCATAACATACTAAATTCGATGGTATTTTTTTTTGCATCTTCACATTTTCCCTGTTCGTTTCATCTTTTCTTAATATTTTTCCTATTTGTTTTGTCTTTTTGGTTTTTTCGAGCAGAGTGACGCAACAAAAGAATCTGTCTTTTCGTACGTGTATCACTTTTTATTATAGTTTGTAGTCAATACCTCAGTCAAACTTTTCTAACGAGTTCAGTTACTGTCGAAAGATAGTTTCCTCAAGTTGTTCTTGTTTATTGTACTCGCAAATCACGTACAAAACCAAGCTTATTGAAAAACTTGTTATTAGTTCGACCAGTTTACAAAACGGGAATGAATGATATATAGTCTATCTAATTCTCAATTTTTTTGAACAGCTGTTATTATTATCATCATAATAGGAGCTGTCACTTTTTTTAAATTGTGAACATGAACATATGTTATTACTTTCACTAGACTCTTTATCTCCCTGAGCTAAACTTCTAATTTTGTAATATTTATGGATGTACTCAGAAATAAAAGATAATATTTTAATGGTACATTTGTTTTAATAAAACGAATACAAAAAAACGAATGTATCGATTTACTAAACTTGTGAATTTTTTATAAATACTATCGCAATTAAATTTGCATTAACCCGCGGGTAGCCCGTGACGAGTTGAAGAATCGCCAATCCGTGGAGTAGCCCACGGGCCGAAAAAAATATCGCTCAACCCATCAAGTGGGTCGGGTCAAAAAAAAATCACTCACCAGCATCTCCTGATCTAAACTTTATTTTCTTCTTAATTAATAGTAAATTTTAATTAATTACTTTTTAAACGAGAAATATGTCAATCATAGTAAGATTTTTACACCATTTGTTATTTAATCTCAATCATCTATTCTATATTCCAATCAAAATGAAAACATATAACAAGAAAAATAAAAAGGTTTCATCTCTTGAAATAATACATACATTTTCTTTGTTTACATCATGCTTTTCGTCATAAGAAACCATATCCTATTTGAGTAAGATGTCATGGCTTCGAATTGTGTTAAAAAAATTATAGAACACAAAGTCCATTTTTTTTTTGCTTAAAGTTTCTTGATCGTTATCACATGTACTTACAACGAAGTATAACACATCGTCAACAATTAATTGCTAAAGTTGAACAAGAAACTGCGTTAGCAAATGAACGTCAAATGGAAATTCAACATCGTTTACATAAATCGAAAGAAAATAATGAATGTGATGATGGTAAAACAAAAACAAAAAAAAAAGAAATTGAGTAGTTCTGTTTCTCTCTCTGTTTTTTGTTTCTTTTAGATTTATGTTTACCTGCTGTTTTTATGCCTTTTCGTTCGGGTAATGTTTTTAACCCAAGAGCTTATCAATTTTTTCATTCTGTTGGTAAATATAAAAAAACATGAATTATTTCTTCCTTGATTTTTTTTTTGTTTTTTGAATAAAAATAGGTTCAACTAATCCTCGATTAACTCAACCACCATCGATTTTAAAACTTCCATCAGTTCCATCAAGATCTGTAAGTTTTTTTTTCTTTCTTTTAGATAAAAATTTTGTTTTTTGCTAAATATTTTATCTCATAGGTTTCTGTATTAAATCTATTTGAATTAAGTCAACGTTATGATAATTCGAATGAAAAAGATCATCTTATTGAAAAAAAAAACTGATTTAAATATCGTATTAAATCAATAATGTTTTAAAAATTCAAATATCAGTTTTGAGAAAAAACAATGATTTATTTTTATTATCACCGGGCTTTGGTTTTCTTTTTCTCTCGCTTGTATTTGTATTTATATATAAATAAATATGAATAAAGAAAAAAAAAAAAAAAGAAGAAAAAGATCTCAATAGCCATTGAATCGATATTTCATCATACTTCGTTGAATACTTTGTGATGCTTTTGAGTGTGATAATGGTACATGGCGAACAGTTGTCGGTACAGTAGTAAGTACAGCTGGATATTGATTTCGTTTATTTAGCCCATCGACTCTATCACTATAACTGACAGTTTTATTTGAAACAGGTTCTGATCTATTGGTGAGAACAATCTAAAGAAATAAAAAAATTTTTAGATTGAAGAAAATTCCTTTTCGACTAGGAAGCTGTAGGTTCATATTTTCGTGGACCCGAACCTGACCGCGGCCAAATTCGAGGTTTTTTCCAACAATACGTAGTATCCTTCGTGTACTTGAACAAGTAATGGATCAAAATTTGAGCTATTTATTCGCCACTCTCAGAAAAAAAACTCAACATACAGTTATATCTTGTTGATGGATTTCTCATCTGGAAAGCAGCGGATCCAGATAAACGTGTAACTGGACCCGAAAAAAAAGTAAAATTATGGATCCGAATCCGAGTCCACATCTAGAAGGACTCGCACCTCTCTATTTTCGACACTTGGAAAACACTGCATCGAAAAGCTTTGAAATTTTCAGAATAGATAGATTTTGATGAGTAGAAGAAAACTGGTCATAGGCTCAAAACTTCTAAATGTTTCCTTCTAGAAAATATTGAGGAAAGTCGCCTCTCATAATCGTCCTGCTCTGTCAACTGTAATACATTTGATAGAGTTGTTCATTAACTCATTCTTCAAAAACAGCGGAATAACTCAGGTTAATAATTTTAGTGTTCGAACACGTGATTTTTGCATCAACTATTAAAATAAGTTCAATAGATAGAAGATATTCTTAACTTACAGGAGATGGAGTACGTTGTATATGTGATAATGGTAGATTTTCTTGCTCTGTTGCTTTTAAAACATATACAGTAACTTTTTGTTGATTATGATCATCATAAATCATTCTATCATCATTAAATGTAGGTTTTTCATAATTATTGTTATGAATAGGTGGGGTTTGTCTAATATTATCATCAAGTGTTTTTAAATAATACATTTCTGATTTACGTCCAGTAGAATCTTGAAGAGGCATTGGTGAAACTCGATTATTGTTACTAAATGCTGATGATGAACGACGATTATGAATTTCATTATCATTTTCTACGTTTTTCAGATGATACAATTCAGGACCATTACTTGAAGATGGATAAGAATTTTCAATTGGTGGTGAAGATGATCGAAATGGTGGTTCATTATCTATTGGTTTCTGATTATTTTTTGCTCCAAGATGATATGTTTCTGGTTTTTTTCTATTGGAATCTTCAAATGATGGCGGTGTATATCGATCATTATTAATAATTGGTGGTGATTGATGACGATCATAATTAATTTTTGATTTTCGTGGAGTGAACGTGTCAGTCATTCTAATTTTAAGAAAATTTATAAATACTTATAAATCTTTTTTATTTCTTATTAAATTAAACGTTTTAATATTCGTCCGAAATAAGTACATCAGTTGAAAAAAGTTTGTCGTCTCTTTCTTTTTTTTTTCTTCTTGTTTAATTCGTGTACAATAAAAAAGTGGTAGAATAAGCAAAGAAGAAAAAAAAAATAAAAACGTTTGTCAATAGAAACAAAGCAATACTCTATGTTTACTCGTAGGCAGGTCGGTAGAGTGGCAAGAAGCAAAGAATGAAAGTATTGAAAAGTAAAAAAAAGAAAAAAAGTCAAATATTGCTTCTTCTTTTTTTCTTGTATTAGTCATCCGATCGAGAAAAAAAAAGTTCATTGTAATACTATTTGAATCAAATGATCGATTGTATCGATTTGATAACCAATAAAAAGTGATTACAAAATTAAAACACGTATATCTCAGGATTAATGAACTTTTTAAGAGCTATTTTTGATATTTTATATGTATGTTAAGTTACTCTAAATACCCCGAAAAAATCAGCGCTAAAGATCCTGGTTCAGAGAAGTTATCGATAAAAAGCAAACGTTAGGGACGTAGCATGAGAAAGAATATCGACTTTCAATTTATGCATTTTTGATTTTAAAAAAATTTCGAATTGAGACATCATTTTTGAAAACTAAATAATATATTCTATCGACAACTTTTGTGGCTACAAATCTCTATCGAAAGTTTTCTTCTGAGAATGCCTAGATTTTTCAAAAAGAAAAAAACGATTTACTTTTCGTTAACAACGTGATGAAGTACAAATATACAAATGAAAAATGCTCTTATAATCGAATGAGAAGTTCAAAACGATTTTTAAACGGTACCAATCCTTCTTCACAATCTCTAGAAAACCAGTTTTTCAGGGAACCGCTTTCCCAACCCAAAATTTTCAGTTTTTTTGTTTTTATTTTTTGTGTTTGTTATATAGATGTAGATGTCCTCCATCTAATGAGCACATTTTAAGAAGACTAAACCATCTTTTTATATGTTAAATGCTCAACTTTGTACTAAAAAAGCCAAAAAGTGCAACTTTCTTTGCGTTTTTCTCAAAAAGTAGATTTTCAAACAAAAAATGAAAGTTTCCCCCCTTTTTCTCCTAAACGGTAAAGCCGATTGGGCTCAAACATTTTTTAGGGATAATTAGCAACATCCAAAACGAAAGCTTTTCTTAATGATTTTTTGATAGTGCCTCCGGCGTTTTGTTTCTCGTGAGTTCCAGGAACAATATTTTTCAAAAGAAAAGAAAAAGACACACCCATATTTGTTTCTAGTTGCCACAAAAAAAAATGTCAGCCCTGAAAAACGTAGTGTAGCCATTTGCGAGACGAAAACTTCAACCATTTTTGACCTTTGATTTGTCAATATCTCCCGGATGAAAGCGTTTAGGAGTTTTGAGTCTATAGCAACGTTTGGCCTACTCATCAAGATCTATTTATCCTGAAAGTTTCAAAAATTTTCATCGAACTGTTCTCAAGAAACCTCGAAGAGGTGGGAGGTCCCCGTAAGAGGATGTTTTTTGGAACTTATTCAGAAAATAAACCTTGTCAAAAATCAAAGTCAAATGGACGGTAGATATGTTCCAATTTTTCTGAAATGGCCCATATAAAAAAAAATGTTTTTTTAATTGAAATAAATATCGACACTAATTGAATTATTTGATTTGATCGGAAAGAACAGAGAAAAAAGATTTACCGCCTACTGTCCCACACAAGATACTAAACGACAAACAGCATGTATTCTATAGATGATTATAATTATTGAAATCATTTATATTGTTTAAATTATAAAATCTTTGTTTTTTTCTTCTGATCATAGTTATACATTTTCATAAAACTAATCCATAAGTATTTATCAATTTGATATTAAAATAGAAATTATTATTTATGTTGATAGCAGATATAAAATATTAATCAAGAATAAAGATATTTCATTATTTCTTGTTGAAATCAATGTTGAATAATATATTGCTATTCTAGATTACATTGATCATGAGTTTTATCAGATTAATGAACTTTGACAATTAGACGTTGACATTGATATTTTTTGACTAACTGAACTTACATTTAGATTTCCGAATATTGCTTTTGCATGTCAACTTCATTTTCAATCATCCGATTAAAAAAAATTTAATCAACATACTAAATTAAGGTTGTCAATCTATTTTGATATATATAATAATATAAATTTCTTATTTATTTGTATTGTAAAAGATATATATAATACAGATTTTTTTATTTCATATTACTTGTTAAACTTATTTAGACAGTTATCTAATAAATTTTTGTATACAATATTCAATATCAATGAAAATTTATTCGATTTGAATAATTGTTTTTAATTGTTTATAATTTATTCAAATCTATTTATGATAAATAAAAGATAATATTGATCCTTTGTATATGTTAAATATGAACAGAATCTTGTATAATTTTTTTATAATATTTTTTTAATCTATAAATTGTTATATATTTATTTATGTATAAGAAGAATATAATTAATGATAATGATATACATATAAATAATAAAAAAAATCAATTGTTGAATAGATAATTGAATTATCGTACAAACAAGGAAAACGAATGAAACAATCATTTTTAATCGGCACCTACTACAATAAATAATATGTCAAAATTTTCTAATAGAATTTTCAATGAATTTATAATTGCTAACAATCCTTTTCTTTTAAATTATTTTTATGATGATGTTTTCCTTAAAATAAAACAAGCAATTTTCTTCAGGTTATTAACAAACATACACAACCGATAGTGTGTCAATGTTGACTGCTGTATGTATGTGGATGTGTAGTTGTGTATTCTTAACGATATTTTTCGTGCTTGATGTTAGATGAAGCAACAACTCAGCGGAATAGATGTTCAATAAAGAAAACTAACATAGATAAAAAAGAAACGAGAAAGAGAGAGAGAGAGAGAGAGAGAGAGAGAGAGAGAGAGAGAAAGAATGGTTCCGAGAGGATGGGTGTGCAACACATTCAGTTAAGCCTGATAGGCTCTTTTATTCTCGCCTTCGTCTTCATATATTCATGACTATCGAGACAACAACGATGTTTAGTTTTAACCACGCATACAAAAATTTATTAGACATTTTTTGTCTTATCCTTTTTCTTTTATTCATACTTGCGTTAGCTCTCTTATTCTCGCTCTCAGTATCTAAATCTACATACTATTGGCGCTGCCTACGTATAGCGACTTCTTATTCATTGTAGCGCACACTCGTTTGCCATTAAGAAAGAGAAAGCATCCAATGTTGCCATGTTCAATATTTTCTCACTAGTTTTTATGACGGCAATCCAAAGACAGAAAGAGAAGAACAAGAAAGAAAGAGAGCGGGAAACAACTCACTCGTCATTCATTCATATGGCAACAGCGCAAATCATTTGAGGCAAGACTTTAAGGATTCTTTTCTTTTATATTTATTATCGTCGAACAAAATCATAATTTTTATACGGATAATACCAATAGTAATGATGATGATTGTAGAAATCCATCAAATGTAGATAAATTTTGAACATCTATACATGCATATAATAACATCCCTTTCTTTTTCGGTTTCAATAACGATGATGACAAGCGCAGCGTTGACATAATAAATTCCAGAGATTTTCTTCTTCTTCTTCTTCGTCTTATATTCTCTCGGTTTTTTTTTATCATTGTGCATCCGCAGTAGTAAGACAAGAAAGAAAAAAAAAAGAAGAAAGAATTGTTCGCTTCTCAAACTCGCGTTTTTTTGTTTTTGCGTGCATGTTCACAAAGACAAGCGCTAGCATCATAATCAGATAGGATAGAAGCTATAAGACATTAACATCAACAAGCATACAATGAAAAGAATTGTGTAAGTATATAATTTATAATGAATTCATTTTCTTTTTCTTTTCTTTTCTTTTGTTCTTTCGATATTGACTATTTTATCAAATATTTATATACTATATATTCTGAAAAGTTCATGCTTCTATTCGACTAAAAATGTGGATATAAATGTGTATTCATCATGATAATGATGATAGAACGAGAAGATTGTATACTATATATAGTTACCTCGAAAGAGCATAGCTTATTTAAGACGGACATCCGTTTGGGTTCCCATGTTTGGAAGGGCTTCATGAATAATGAAGGCTTCAAAACTGAATAGAAAAAGAAACCCGAAGAGAGAAGAGAATTTTCTTTCTTTCTTTTTTTCATCATCTTCTTCTTATCATTGATCCGCCTTATTTACAATAATAGAAAAAAAAACGAGAATTAATTGACTCTGTTAAGCCAATAGCAAATGTATTAAGGTTTTTCTCTATAATTTGTTATACGGTCGTTTAATCTCAAGAAATAATGATTATATTTTCAAGCCGTTTTCAGAAAAAAAAAACAAGTACATTAGTTGCTCTCCGTCTTGGCCAATTATGTGTCAAGAACTCACTTTTCTCTTTTTAAGAGTCGTCTAAACAATTCATTTAAAAGAGATTTATTTACATATCAAAATATAATTTCTAGTTTTTTATACTGATTATTGTGTAATTCATTTTTTTGTACTTCTTCTCATTTTCTTAGTTCTTTTTTTTATTTTTTGTATTTGACAACTAGAAAAGATGTGCATTCCATGGATGTGATTGCTAAATATAAATTCAGCATAAATGCTAGAGAAAGAGAAAGAAGAAGAAAAAAAAAGAATGATAGATAGTCTTGCGTTAATGATAATGTTCAGATTAATCTTCTCAGTTTCTTTTCCATTTGAATAATATATCAATTATTCACAATTGATCAGATTCAATATATGACAGCTAAACGATTAGAAAAAAAATATTCAATATAAAACATATTATATAGAAAAACTTCAAGTTTCTATAAACAGCTAATAGATTATAAGATATAAATTAAAATATTAATCGTAATATATTACATAATGTACTATGATAAATTATTTCACTACAAAAGTTAGTACAAATTTTAATAAGAATATTTATTTTTCTCTTTCTATATATATATATATATCTGAGATAGACGGAATTGTCTCGCGCCATTCGTGCGCTCTAGCATACATCTATGTAATGGAGTGCAAATCTCCATGAAACGCATGTTGAAGCATCTCATAATTCTATCCGGACTGAAAGAACATCGAAGAAATGACTTCCTGCCTTCGAAATGTATTCATCGAATAAGAAAAGATAGGAACGTACGCAAAGTGCGTAAGCGTGATCAAAAATAGTCTATACTATTTGGAATTCAACATTAAAAATAATATTATTTAATTGTGAAAGATCTATATTAATTTTAGATAAATATAATAATGATATCTAATTAAATGGCTCATTTTACACGTTTTGTTTCATTTGAAGATAAGTTCAATACGAAGTATGACAAAAAAATAAAATTTTTTAGTTTTTTATTTTTTGAAATATTTTTTTCTTTTAGCTTATTCACATTTATTCTTCCAAGTACATATCTACTAGGAACAGAGGAAAAATTAACTACACGAGAATTTTTATGTCGTAATATACCATTTGTATTAACATTTGTTAAAAATGGTGATCAATTAAATGCTTTTTTATTACATCGTAGTCGTGATATAGAAACACTTGAAATGACGCTTGACTTAAGTGTTACATTATTATGTCGTGAACACTTTACACGTAATGAATCATTTACAGAAAAAAATTGTAAATTTACAAATAAAGTTACTTTACATGGACGAAAATCTTTTACATCAATAAATCGTTTATGTTCAGTTGATTTTATGGATGAACGTGGAAATATACAATGTGAACTTGAAATAAAAAATCTTATTGTTTCATATATAACTGAAATACAACTTCCACCACAATTAATTAATACACAATATACACATGTTGTACAATCAACAACGAATCGACAACCATTAGATGCTAAAATTGAAACACCATTATTTTATTATTCAAATTATGAATGGTGTGTTGTTATACAACCAAAACTTGATAGTGTTGGACAAGTTGGACATTTTCGAATGTTTATACAACGTTTAACACCATGTGATCATTCAGTTAAATTAACATATCGTATTAAATTAACAGCTGGATCATATACATGGGATCCAAATCAAGAAAAAAGGCAAACAAATTTAAATGATAGTAATACATATGAAATAAATTATACCGATATACATGGTTTATGTCGACCATATAAAATCGATCGTGTACGTGAATTACTTCAAGCTAATGGAAAATTTACACTTACTGTTGAACTTAAAGATGCTATAAGTAAATATTTCATTTTGTTTTTTCGTTTTGAGAAAATCCTATTAAAATTATAAATTTTATTTTAGCTGTCTTCCCAATTATGGTTGATCCATTTGCATCAAATCCTATTCCAATACCTTTTCTTGATAAAGATCAACAAGCATGGACTGTTGAAGCATATATTGAAGAACAATGTTTTATAATACGTTTATATTATTCAGATATATTTAAAATTCCAGCAAATTATGTACGTTCAATATGTTTTAATATAACTGTACGTAATTATCGTGATACAAAAACAACAACAAGTGTTTTTCAAAAACCAGTTACAAAATATTATTCACAAAAAGATAGTGATGAAGGTTTAGAAATAAGTACAACATTAGATGTAACAGAAGTTAGTTGAAGCAAAAAAAAAATAAAAACAAACATTATAAAATTTATTTACTTTTTGTTTTTTTTTACTTTAGTTAACTGAACGTGGTTATTTAAATGATCAACAAAGTGTTACAATAGAAATTGAAATGTTTTTTTCACATTTAATGTTTTCACCTGAATATTCACCATTAGATGATATTGTACGAAAACAAAAAATACAAATAATGTATGTATTAATGTTTTCTTTTTTTTGTTTTTGTTTTTCTAATATGAAATAAGAAAATTTTAGGCGTGAATTATTAACAGCACAAAATGAAAATTTTCAATTAGAAAAAAAAATTCATGAACTTCAATTAACAATACAAAATCCATCAATGTTAAATCGTTTATCTGAAACTATTAATGGACCATCATCAACAGGATTATCAAGTGGTTCAAGTGCACCAGCAACACCTAATGTTGTTCGAAAATATTATGAAATGAAATATGGTGATAAAGGTTCAACATCAAATTTACTTGCAACAGGAACAAATAGTCCATCATTACCTATCTATAGTAATACATCAAATTTTGATAATGTACCATCTAATACAAGTCCATTATCTATGCGTAATGGTACTTTATCAGGTAAAACTCAATCATCATCTGTACCACAACCTAATGTTACACTTGGTGCACGTAATTCAACAACATTTAATCTTCGAAATAAATTACCTAATTCTATACAAAATACAATAGCTAATACCAGTCAATCATTACAATCAAAATTACCAGCTAGTTTACAAAAATTACCAGCAAGTTTAACTCAAGGACCAACAATAAATATGCTTGCAAGCAAATTACAAAATGCATTTTCTTAAAAAAAATTTCTTTTTCTTTCGTTTTTTTTTCTATGCATAAAAATGTATGTTATCTTTTGTGTGTATGTGTATATGTATGTGTGATACCATTCTTGTATTTTTCCTATTCTGTGATCCCTTATGTGTATTTCTAAATGAAATTTAAAGAAAAAAAAAAACAAATTAAAGAAATAAGATTACAAAATTTAAATGAAAGAATTAGAATATTATTAATGTTGTTATAAACATACAAATAGAATTTGTATAGTTTAATAATTATTTTATTCTTCTAAATGAGAAAATAATATAAATAAGTAAATCATAATGTGTTTTTTTTTTATACATTTAATTATATTAACAAAATTCATATATTCAGTTTTGTTGTACTCAGTAGTACAATAATTTCGGTATTCTATCATAAGAAAATGTATTGAAAAAGATTTAAGTATAAAAGACAATCTAATATCATACATTTAACCTGCTTAGTCGAGTTAGAACTGAACTAGATGGATGACCGATCGGATTAAAATTTTGAAACCGACTGATTTTTACCATTTTTTTCATCAAATTTTTAAACTGCTAAAACCAATCTACTTAGTTTGGTTTTATCGATTTTCCTAATCTAGAGACATGATCTTCAAGATCTTCAACTAAAAAATATCAGATTTAAATAATGAGCTCAAGTTTTCTAATTCTACATATAGAACTTTACATTATGCTGAATAAACTGAGAACTAAGATACCAGTTATCAATATGATGATTCAATATTTATTTCTACAAGAATGTCATAAAATATTTCTTTATTATCTTACATTACTATATAACAATACAGTACCATAAAAGTGCAGAGATATTTTGGAATTTTCACAGCAATAAAAATGACATCACTCATATTGATTTATGTTGCTAAATCGAAGTTTATATCGGATTCTTTCCAATTGATAGTATCAAAATATGCTATTCAAAAAGAGAATAACTTCCTAGGAAAGTCTCATATACTAAAATTAATCGGATCTTGTGAACTATAAATTTCTTAATTATAATGGTAATGTTGACGTTCTTCACAATAGGTAATCGAAAGTTTTATATATATATATATATAACTGATCGAAGATATTTGATCCTTGATAAATCTGATTTGTATTAGCAATTAAGGTGTACGCCGATCGGCTGAGTCCCTGCTGTCATTGCCGATAGCTGCAAACTTTTTAAAAGTATATTCACCAACTAGAGATGTGCGGGGCATTGATTTTCCATCCCCCGCGGGGCCCGCCCCGTAAAATTCACAAACCCGTCCCGTCCGAACCCCGTGGATATTCTTTTTGAGAATCCCCGCCCCGCCTGTGCCCCGGCAAATCTATACTCGCTCCGCCCGTACCCTGCACAGGCAGCTTCTTGAACCGGCCCGCCCAACCCGCCATTTTTGTGATGGGCCCCGACCCGTCCCCGTGTGACCCGAAGAAATTTTTTATTTACCAAATACTTTATTTTTAATGATGCATTCCTTTTATGAATAATCATTTTTTACAAAAGCAAAACTCAAGTCTATATGAGATGGTTTTGAATGATTCACTTTGTGATTGTCGACAAGCACGTATTTTTCTGGTTGTTCTTTTAAAAACATTTTTATATTTGACGAATTACATTTAATATTACTCGATGAGCAATGGCTGAAAGATGAAGAAATAATTGTAGATGAACGATCAGTATTCGACGAAGCTGTCCTATCAAGTGATTCATCAGGAGATAAATCGTGTAATTCGATCATACTTAGGTCTGACCAAAAGTTCTGGCAACATTATATAAAAATATAAAGATAAGTAGGCATCTTTAATTTTATTTAATCAAATTTTGAGGACAGTTGCCATGATTATTTATACCAAGTTCGATCCTTTGCAACAATTTGTTAAAAGTTTTTTTCGAAAAAATTTTTAGATATCGCATGGGCTTATCATGTTTCATTTATTTAATCAGTTAAACTACATTTAATAGAATTAGTTAGCGAAAAGTTACATAGTATCAGGCCTGGCGAATATGATAGGTATGATATCATATTGATGCCTTCTTCTGTCATGCAATTAATAACATTAGATGAGTATGAAGTCAACGATGACCGTCAATCAATTTTGTACATTTTGCACCTGATGTCGCTGTTTGTTTCCATATTTCATTAATAAAATGTTTTGGAGAGTTTTCAGTATAATACTTGTGACTTACAGTCTTGCCTTTATCTACATTCAGGAGTATTTGGTTTAAAGAATATACCAAACAAAGCATTTTCTAAAATCTTTATTCATGAACAATAGTCTTTGACGATTCATCTTCAATAAGCCAGCCAGCATCGGATAACTTATGACTAACCTATCTAAAATAAATCTATATCTCATCACTAGCAGTACTAAAATGCAACTGATATGATCGAACAAGATTTTGCTAACTTTTCACAATAAATGAAATATGATTAGCTCATGCGGTATCCATGATACCTAAAAAATTTTTCGAAAAAACTTCAAAAAACTTTTAACTAATCGTTGGAAATGATCAAACTTGGTATAAATAATCATGGCAACTGTCCTCAAAATTTGATAAAATAAAATTAACGATACCTCCTTATCTTTATATTTTTATATAATGTTGTCAGAACTTTTGGTCAGACCTAAGTAGTAATTCACAAAAAAATTCAAACGATAATTCTACATATAAAATAAGTTTTAGTCCAGTTATTCACTTAATATAAATTGATAGTAGAAGTTGCGTATGACAGACGATAAAGAAAGAAACAAACAAATGGTAGACAATCTTGTACATAATAGGATGAAAGTAATGAAGCAATCAATATGTACTTTGTACCACATACCTATACTAAGGACATCCCGTGATAAGTTTTGACGATCTTTCATCACATCCGAAAAAAAATGTTTACCCGCCCGAACCCGTGTATTTCATACCCGCTCCGCCCGAGACCCGTGTCATTTAAAATAATGATTCCCCGCCCCGCCCGCCCGTGTGCCGGAAAATACCCGTGCCCCGTTAATCCCGCGTTTAATTAAATTTTTCTTCCCCGCCCGCTCGTCGCCACGTGGCCCCGCGGGGCCCGCGGGGTGAACCCCGTGGACCGCACATCTCTGTCACCAACGCTCAAGCAATTCAGCCGCGATACAAAAATTTTCGACGGCTCAAATCAGTCTTTCGAGATGGAATTGTCAGATTTCTAGTTGACAACTTCATTATCATTGTTTTCTTTCTTTTTGATATCAAAATTTCTCGAAATTAAGAATTCATGCATCATGTTACATTTCGAATCGATAATGAGAACGAAATAAAGAGAAAAAAAAACAAATGTTTTTATTTAAAACTTAACTTATTCTGCTTTTATAGCCTTTTAACAATCAAACATTGGTTATAGAAATCAACATAGAAGTATATATTTCGCGATTTACATCAAGATGTTAAATATGAAACATAATTTTATTTTTAAACTCTGAAATGAGTGTTTCTATCAATTAATGAAATGACAAATTCTATTAACTTAATACAGAAACTCTTGTGTGAGAATATCGAATTCTAGTATTTTATTAAAAAAAAAACAAAAAGAAATTATCACTCGAAAAATGAATGCAATAAAACAATATATTGCGTAGTTGCTCGTTTTTTGCTGAAGTTACAATTATATCCACTATTCATTGGTCATCTTCAACTTCACAATATTCAGTTTCTGATTCATTTACATATATTCTTGTCGTTGTGCGACTAACAGTTTCACATTTTTGAGATTTCTTCTTTTGATTGTCATCTTTGGGATTCATTGAAGATGATCGCAATATTGTTCAATCATAGACACCATAATTTTGTGCCCAAAAATTAAGATCTACTAAAGAATTTTGTTGGATTTTGAGCATGGATACAAGATCTTCATAGATTTGACGTTGTTCAGTTACACTTTCAAATGAAAAGGCTGCTTTAATAAATTTGAGTAAAGTTTCTTGAATTAAATCCAATCGTTCTTTTTCGAATCTTTGACAGTCTTCATAATACTGTTTTGCTCTTTTTCGATAAGTTTCTTTTTCTTGATTATATACTTTTTGAGCTCGTTCAATTTTTTCTGTAATAATTTCTAATGTCTCTTGGTGTTCCGCTTGATATTGAGAATCATCATCTTCTTGAGCAATTTCTATTTCTTTTTTTTTGACGTAATTGTTCAAGTTTATTTGATGAATCGGATAATGGTGCATATGCAGCTTTGAATACGTTTCTCATTACATCTGTTCGATGATATTTATGAGTAAAAGAAAAATGTGTACGAGGATACATTTGTTCGACTTGTGTACGATATGTGACAATAATTTCTTCAATATTCTTAACACGAACTTTTATAAGTTCAGCATGACGTTCAGGTGCACGAACTATTTCACATTGAGTACGTTTAGTTGTATTATATGATGAAAGTAATGGTTGTTGTTCTACTTTAGAAGTCCATTTTTTTTTAGTATGAATTAAGACTGTTCACATTTTCTTTTAGAAGATTGCAATAATCTTGCACATATTCAATAAAATCCACGGAGATTTGATAGCCTGGAATGATAAAAAAAAGCAATGAAGTTAAAACAATAATGAATTAATGATCAAGAAAACTTACCACCATCAAGACATTCAAGAGTTGATTTATAATTTTTATCATCAAAAAAATTTTTTCCATAGTATTTATCAATTCTACTAGGGCTTCTACTGGCACTATTCGGACGAGATGTAGTAGAACTATCTGTACATCCTGTACAAGCCTTAAGATTCATTGTAACTGAACGATGCATAATAATGAATGTGAAAAGTGAATTGAGTTTTCAATTATGTTTTATAATATAAAATGAAAAGGATTTGCCAAAGAGAAGAATAAAATGAGTGAATCGAATCAGAACTTTATATACCATAGAAGCAGGAAGCGAGGGGAGCAGAAAAATCTATCCTTTTTGTTTTTAATGACTGAAAATAACCCAAGGAAAGGGATGAAAATGACGTTGAATTGACGTATGGATTCGTCGAAAAACAAAATCTCGATTCATAAAAAAAACAAAGACCGAGAGAAAAATGACACGAAAAATAAACAAAAACAAGGCTCAGATTTTTTTCTTTCGATAGCAATTTTCTCGCACTTAAGTTTTGTTTTATAAGATAAGCAAATAATTTATTGAGAATAAAACAAAGATTTTTCCGTTGAAAATATAAGGGAGAAAGTACTATTATTCAAGAAGCACTTTATTAGAATCTCAACAAAAAAATCTTGAATAAATCACCATGTACAGAGTGTGGGTGAAGAGAAAACCAACACTCACCCATATTCACCCATACCCACACCCACACCATTACGTCTGAATTAATGACCACGATTTATAATAACTCAGAATCAGAAGTCTTTCAAGGCTGCCAGGATTGGGCGCGGCCAATGATGTAAGAAGCCGATCAGAAGGTTTTTGCTGAATAAGATCAAAGTTAGGGAATTCCGTATCTTTTTGGAATTAGTAAGCAAAAGAAATACAATAATACGCTGGCACTTCGTTGGAGAAAAATGAAAAGTTTTTAAGATTGGGGGGGAGTTATTCCCTGACCTTTAATCTCTGTTCGGAGCACCTCTGGTCGGAATGTATGAATCAATTTTTTTCTCGTTTGTATTAATATTTGACGTGTGTACATTAGTCTATCACATGTTGTCCATTTGTAGAAAACCTATTGATTCTCAGTGTTGAATACTGCTACTTGGTGTAATATACATCAACTCAGTTGAAAATTTATCTAAATCAGTTTAGTTGGAACATAATATTCTCTGAAGAAAAATTGGCTTCAAAATGTCAACACATTAACTTGTAAAATTTAGTAATAAATAACAACATTTTTAGAATGGTTTGGATTAATATTCATTTTTTGAAATAAGGCGGTTCGAGCGAATGCCTATAACTTTTGAAGAAAACGTTATAGAAACCTGCGGCTTTCATCGTTCGGTAGAACATAGCAGGGCACATAATAGTACCAAATATCAGACCTACACATAAAATTTAACAGAGCATATATTTCTCTGCAATCTTTGTATCACTTGATAAGATTATTTTAGCAACATCGAAGTACCTATGGTATTCTGGTAGCTATACATACTCACACCCTTTCTAACTTTCTATAATTTTTAGGCGTTAATTAGATAAAAAAAGATGTCCATTCAAAGATTTACTGTGACAAACCTTATCTGAAAGCCTGGTTAATTTGTAATACTACATCTCCTCCTGTGCTCTATCCAACAATGAAAACCGCAGGTTTCTACCACTTTCCTTTCAAAACCTGTAATCATTCTCCCTAAGCGACCTTTTTTAAAAGATTGATAATAGTTCATATATTATAACAAGACGGTATTGATTTACGGTCTATGATTGTATATCAACAATCTCTCTCACGGTCTGTGACGAAGAGACTGTTTCTAAGGCATCTTCCACAGTCTGTAATGCTTACCGGATAATGTCCGTCACGGTCTGAGGGAAAGGGAAGGGTACAAATGTCTACATTTCTTTTAGATCGTGTTTCACAACAATTAGGAGCTTTTTTCTTCAACGCTCTCACAGTGGCCTAATAATAGTTTTCTTGGAAACTTAGTGACAATTCTCAAAAACGATTAAGAGCAAATTTCACTTTTTAAACCTTTTGAATCTCGACAATTCTTTTTGCACGAACATGGAATAAATCTTTACTTCGCCCTTTCTTACGTTCTGCCTTTGCCAGTCAATTGTGGGTGTGTCGCTCGCCTCATAATTCACATCTTGTTTATTGATATTGAATAAAGAAAAATATTCGTAGCGAAGAATATACACTCTTTTTTTTGAACTCAGAGATGATTTTTAGCATATAGGAAGATCACAAAATACAAACTTGCTTTTTTTGTATTCAGAATATCATCTATGAGATGACATTTGATGTAAAAGGGTTCAACTTTAAACTAAAAATTCATAAATATTGCTAAAATCTATTTCTACACGTAAAAATAATAAAACTAAAATCTTTCCGAACTTTCGAAAAAAAAATACATATGTAGATTTTCGATTAGATGCGACAATATTGTATAATTTCTATTTATTAATAATTGAATACATATGAAAATATCTGAACTATGATCTTATTTTCATACTTCATCATTACATATTTCTTCTCGCTTATATTTCATTATCACCAAATCATAAAAATTAAATTAAATAAAACTTCTTATGTATACGAGAATTTTACAACGATGCAACACGTCATCATCATTCATTCATAAAGATCATGATGAATCATATGAGAACTTAAGATAAATAAGTCTAGAATATTATGGCTGATGCAACATGGTAATGGAATTACGTCATTGCAACTTTGAATAAAAAAAACCAAAATATAAAAGTTCATTTGCGAACAAAATATAAATTTTATTGAACATATTGAAAAACAAGTAACATTCTTATCATTACAAGAAACTAGAGGACTGAGTATATCACAACATGAGAAGAAAAAAATAATAAAAAGTTACTATACAAAAAATATATAAACTCTTGATTCAAAGTACAAAAAAAAATAAAAATAACATATTTAAATCAGAACTAATTATGTTTATTATACTTGATTAAGTGCCATAGCATTTGTTGTAGTACTATGTGCTTGTGATTGTTCTTCTTCGTCTTCAATAACTGATCCTTCTATTGTTGTGGTATTCGTCATTTCACTTTTGTGAGATTTTTTTGCTTTTCGAGTAGTTGTTTCAGAAGAAATACTTTCATTGTGACTGATTTGAGATGATAGAGATGTTGTTGAATCATAAACACCATAAGTTTGTGCCCAAAAATTAAGATCTTTTAAAGAATTTCGTTGAGTTTGAAGTTCTGACATAAGATCTTCATAGATTTCATCTTGTTCAGTTAAATATTCCGATGAAAAAGCTATTTCACTAAATTTAATTAAAGTTTCTCCAATTAAATCTAAACGTTCTTGTTCTAATATTCGACATTCTTCATAAATCTTTGTTGCTCTTACACGATAAATTTCTTGTTCTTGATTATATTCTTCTTCAGTTCGTACAATTTCTCGTTTAATTTCACCTAATTTATCTTTTCTTTTCTTTTGTTTTTCTTTTGCGTTTGTCATTTTATTTTTACTTATTATTTCATCAGAACAAAGATTTTCATATTGAGCATTAGCATCATCAAGAGCATTTTGTGCTATTTCTTGTTGTTCACGTAATTGTTCAAGTTTATTTGATAACTCGGATAATGATGAATAAGCAGCTTTAAATAAATTTTTCTTTGTATCTGTACGATAATGTTTATGACTAGTACTGAAACGTTCATTTGGATACATCTGTTCGACTTGTGTACGATATGTAACAATAATATTTTGAATAACATCATGTTGATTTTGTAAGAGTTCAGCATGTCGATTAGGTGTACGAACTGTTTCAAGTTGAGCACGTTTAGTTGTATTATATGATGAAAGTACTGATTGTTGTTTTATTTTTGATTTCCATTTGTTTGAATATGAATTAAGACGATTAATATGTTCTTGTAGAAGATTACTATAATCTTGCATATATTCAATTAAATCCATGGAGATTTGATAACCTGAAACAATGAAATTAAAATAATAATAATAAATTAATAATTAAGAAAACACTTACCACCATCAAGACAGTCAAGAATTGATTTGTAATTTTTAGCATAAAAAAAACTTTTTCCACTGTATTTACGGAGTGTTTTATGATTTTTATTGTCAATAGCCAAAGAACGAGTAGTAAGATTACTTGTATAGCCCACACAGGCCATAAGATTCTTCGTAGTTGTACGTTGCATGATAATCAATGTGAAGTGTGAACTTACTTTGAATAATGTTTTAATAATATAAGATGAAAAAGATTTGACAAAGAGAAGTGATTATGTTGTAAAATGCAATGAATGAATCGAATCAAGCTTATATATATACACAAACAAAGAGCGGGGGAGGAGAAATCTCTTTTTTTTTTTGAATACGTGGAAGTAATTCTACGAAAGAAATGAAAATTAAGTTGGATAGTTCCACTGATTCATCGAAAAACAATTTCGATTCAGAAAAGAAGCAAAGAATGACGAAAAAGTTCCACAGAAAAAAAATTAAACGTTTAGCCACACCTTTTTTCTTCCGGTAGCAACTTTCTTCCACTTATCTTTTCGTTTCCAAGGTAACCATGTAATTCATTGGGAATAAAACAAAGAATTTTTGAATTGAAATATCTAAGAGAACAAACACTGTTATTGCGTAACAACTTCTTTATTAGCATATAGATAAAATAAAACCATCTTGAATGAATCATCACAGACAGAAATACCAAATTCATACAAAAAAAAATCTTTAATACAATTCCTTTTGTTGGAATTTATCAATAATTATTTCTATTGATCTTCTATATACAAAAATTCGAAGATTTTTCGTAGTATACCTTATTTATTTAGAAGTCAAACTTAAGTCTTGAAAAAATTTAATAAATCATTAGACAAAAAAAGATGTACGAAATGATGAATAAATCAATAGTTCATAGTTTTATTAACCGATGTTCTCAATGGGCTGGATTGGTCCAATTTTATGATAGGTACCCATGGACTTTCGCGTTTGGATAATTGATAGTCAAAGGATAGAATCTTGAATAAAACACAAAACTTCGTAGAGTTATCGCGTATTATCATTGAAAAATTCCATTTATTCCTTTAGTTGGCTTAAACCTTCTCCAATGAAGAGCGAGTTAATACTCAAAATAAACACATAAAAATTGAAGTGATAATAATTTACCGACAAATTTGATGTAGTCATGCATATCATTTGTTGACATAGTCCACTGGAATTTGATCAGTCTTGTGTAGACATTTTCTCGGCAAATGGTTCATATAAACTAAATCGTCCATTTATGTTAAATATTTTCATACTATTCAATGAAATGTTTCCCCTTTTGTACTAACAAATTGTGAGTCATTTTTATGATTAACAAGGAGAGTTAATCATAATGAAGAATTTTGACTAATAGAGCAAAAAAAAAATTTCCACTAAATTGGCATTCATACATTCAGTGAAGCCATTTCTAAAGAACAAAACTATTGGTTGAACTGAATAAAAGTTCAGTTGCTCATAAACTGACTTTCAAACATCTAGCTGAGTCTATTAAGAGCTTTCTTATCAAAAGTAGACATAGTTATCGTGTTTTCATCAAATGAATTAATTTTTTTTTGTCTTGTGATTAAAAAAATTGTTGAACTTTTTTTTTGTTTGGAAAACTAATAATTCACGAACATTGCTAAAGTCTATTTCTACACGTAAAAATATCTGAACTATGATTTTATTTTCATACCTCATTATTACATATTTCTTCTTGCTTATATTTCATTATCACCAAATCATAAAAATTGAATCAAGTAAAACTTCTTATGTATAGAAGAATTTTACAACAATGTAACACGTCATCTTTATTTATTCCTAAAGGTCAATTCTAATCTCAGTAAACTTTGTCGTCATGATGAATCATATGAGAACTTAAGATTAATAATTCTAGTATATTATAACTGACGCAAGATTGTAATGTTATTGCGTAATTACAATTTTGAATAAAAAAATATGTAAAACTTCATTTTCACACAAAATATCAATTTTATTGAACATATTAAAAAAAATTAACATTCTTATCGTTACAAGAAACTAGAATACTGAGTTTATCACAACATGAGAAGAAAAACAAAAATAAACAGTTACTATACAAAAATCTATAAACTCTTGACTACACAAAATATCTAAATTTAATTTTTTTCTTTCCTATTTAAATCATTACTAATTTTGTTTATGATACGTCATTGAGCGCTGCAGTATTAGGTTTTTTTTGAACAGATGTTGTATTTTTATTCTTTTTTAATTTCGTTGTTGTAGTATTATCTACTTGTGATTGTTGTTCTTCATCTTCAGCAATGGATTCTTGTATGTTTTCTTCTTTAGTTGTAAGATTCTCTGATTCATTTTTATGAGATTTCTTAGTTTTTCGAGTAGTTATTTGAGAAGAAATACTTTCATTTTGACTTGTTTGAGATGATAAAGATGTTGTTGAATCATAAACACCATAAGTTTGTGCCCAAAAATCAAGATCTTCTAAAGAATTTCGTTGAGTTTTGAGTTTTAACATAAGATTTTCATAGATTTCATTTTGTTCAGTTAAATATTTCGATGAAAATGCTACTTCATTAAATTTAATTAAAGTTTCTCCAATCAAATCTAAACGTTCTTGTTCAAATATTCGACATTTTTCATAAATATCTATTGCTTTCGTACGATAAGTTTCATATTCTTGATTATATTCTTCTTCAATTCGTACAATTTCTCGTTTAATTTCATCGAATTTATCTTGTCGTTTAATTTGATTTTCTTTTGCATTAGAAATTTTTGTTTTACTTGCTGTTGGATCTAAACTAAGATTTTCACATTGAATATTAGCATCATGAAGAGCATGTTGTGCTTTTGTTTCTTGTTCATGTAATTTTTCAAGTTTATCTGATAATTTATATAATGTTGAACGTGCTGCTTTAAATAAATTCTTCATAGTTTCTGTACGATAATGTTTATGAGTAGTACCAATACGTTCATTTGGATATATTCGTTCGACTTGTGTACGATATGTAGCAATCATTTTTAGAATAGCACTATATTGAATTTGTAAAAGTTCAGCATATTGTTTAGGTGTTGAAACTGTTTCACGTTGAGCAAGTTTTGTTGTATTATAAGATGAAAGTGCTGATTGATGTTTTATTTTTGATTTCCATTTTCTTGAATATGACGTAAGACTATCAATATATTCTTGTAAAAGATCATTATAATCTTCCATATATTCAATACAATCTTTACAAATTTCATAACCTCCATCCAGACATTTGATAATTGATAAATAATTGTCATCGTCGAAAAAATTCGATTGAATATATTCATTAGATATATAACAAGCATCATTGTTTGTATTAGGGATATGAGCACGAATAGTATCTTTTAATCCAATAAAATTCGAAAGTTTTATTGAATTAGTATGACGAAGAATAGCTGATTTCATTCGTGAAGTCATAGTTATTTATCTATAATAATAAAAAATATACTGGTAAATGTATTGCCAATAAAAAGAACTGCAATCACGAAATTTGCAGAGTATTTATACTCGTTTTTTGTTCTTTCACAGAGTATGGAAATATCCAAAAGGAAGGAAAGAAAAATATGAATCATCGGAGAAAAATTGCTTAATTCCAACAGAAAGGATAAAGAAAAAAATAGATCTATTGTTGATTTTTCTCTTGATTTCCGCATTTTTGTCATTTTGAATGTAAGAGGATATCTTTTTTTTTCTTCTATAATTACGTAAGAATAATTGCGTAATGTTGCTCCACAGTCTTTTGATGACATTTACAAAGTGCAAAAAAAACGCCTCTGCAAAGCGTTGTCTAGACATGTTGAGTTGGCAACGTCATACAAGAACATTAATGATTCATTCACTTATATGATTATGTGGATTGTAAAAAGAAAAAATTCGTTGCTAAGAAAAATAAATAATAAAAAATTTAATTTATTCGAATAAATTTCATATACAATTTTTTTTTCTCAGTCAATTTTACATATATGTACTTTTTTTTAGGCTTGTTGCTATTATTACAATCATAATTTCATGAATATGTTGTTTTTTTTTTCGCATATAAAAAAAACATCTTGCAGGTGACATGCGTAGATTATTTTTATGAATTTGATAATTCCAACATTAAAAGTAACTTATGGTTATGTGTTGGATTTTGACTTTTTTTATTAACTATGTAGATTTAATGGTACTTGAGAAAGGTAGCTGCCAAGAGAGATTATACATACGAATCGACTCAGTAAATATTTGTTTTTATCAATAACCTTGTGCAATGTGTACGATTACTTTTATAATCTTTGTTGATTACTCGTTACAAATCTATTTTTGGTATAAAGTAAATCTTCAGCATACTGAAAATATCGTATGTGAACTCGAGTTAATTGAACATAATCAATGTTTAGAATTATAAAATTAAAATGATAAATAGATGCCATTCGTGATAATCCTCGTGTTATGAAAACAATTTGAGTAAACTCGTGTCAGTGATCTGAAGTATGTTCATACAAGAAAAAAAAATGAATTATTTTATTTTATTTTTTTATCTTATTGATGCCGGACTAAACATAATAAAATCAACAATCATGCTTATATGTTCAAGTGTAATAGAAAAATATGAAAATAATCAAATTAAACAAAAGAGATCTACATGTTCGTTTGATTCATCATATAAAATAAGAGATAAGCTTTTGAATTTAAATATAATTTATCTGAATGTAAATATTTTATTGTTTCATCATCACATTCAAACCATTGTTGTTGATTAACCATAATATCTCGACAAAATGTTGTATAATGTCCACCATTCAATGAACCATCATGATTGATAACTGAATAAAGTGTATAGAATGATTGCTGTACAGACGATGAAGAACAACATTGATGTAAATCAAGATTATCTTCAGGATAAAGCACAAGTGTATTATTTTTAATTAAATTCATTTCATAATTTATTTGAAATCTATTTTAATTATTTCAAAATATTTCAATGTATTAATTTATCTTCATTGATTCTTACCGTTTAAGTTGAATAATCAATATTTTTGGTAATTTATGAATTTCTAAACGTCTTTTTCCATTACAAAAACATTTACATCTAGGACCTAGAAAATATATGTATACAGATATTTATATCTATTCAATTTTAAACATACAAAACCATCTTGATTCATCATTTAAATATTCATCTTCATTGAGATGTCTAAGACAATCTTCTAATGTACATTGATTTGTTGATGGAATTGGAAGAGTAAGACAAATAAATGGCTCAAAATTATGTGAAGTGTACATACAATCTAGACATGTTGTTGTCGATAGATACGTACCCTTGATAGAAATATAGCAATAAAAATTAAAGATTTTTTGTGAAACACGATCTAAAATAAGTATTGAATAGAGATTTGCAGGAACAAGTTTTTTTGATCCCAGTACCTTTTTTCTACTGGTTCCTGATTTCGATAGGTTTTCTTATTGGTCCTGGTATCGGTAACTTCTTATGCATGGGTTCCGATCCCGGTCGCTTCTTTTCTATTGGCTTAGTCCCGGTTAGTGGCGGAACCAGGATTTCGGTGTAGGGGAAGCTGAGTACCATATGCAGTCTAAAGTCTGCCACTGTAGTGACGAACGCCTAACAGTCTCAATGGATGTAAAATTTTCTATGGGAGTCGAGCCCCCTAGCTTCTTCAGTGACTCTGCCACTAGTTCCGGTCCCGGTAGCTTCTTTTCGATTGGTGTCGGGCCGATCACTTCTTTTCTATGGGCCCGGACTCAGTCGCTTCTTTACTATTAGTCGCGGCTTCAGTAACTTCTTTTCTATTGATACCGGTCCAGGTCGCTTCTTCTGTATTGGTCCTGGTCTAGAGAAGACTAGTCCAGAATTTATTTGTATCACACTTAATAAAATTCTTCAATACTTACTTTTAGTTTATTTATTTGGCGACTATCACTTTTCTGGGTTATCTCTCTTGAATTATGCTCTAGTTGGTGACTTATTAGATAAATTGCTTATAGTCATAGAATATTTAACTATAATCTATAGTTCCGATTGGGATAATTTTTTTTCTCATAGTCCCAATCCTGGTTTTAGCCATCGGAAGCCGAACTAAAATTAGTGCCGCACGTCTCTAGTGTTGAAGTACAGGAGTAAAAAATTTGGATCCATCCTGTTCTCTCGCAGACGGCGGCAGTCGTTGTTGATATACAGTCACACATAGCATATGAATAAGGTTTCGCAGATAGAATAAAATATTCGCACTGTAATTAGCAAATGCAACTACGTTGTGTTTCACATAGTAATTCCTTAGAGATTGCACTAACAATACTTACATAGAATAAGTCAACAATAATGGAATGATTATTTATTTGATCAACTAAATTACGTTCGATTTCTTGAGTTTGATTTAAAATTTCAGTAGATTTTATCTATGAGAATAAAATAAAAGATTTTCTTTTTCTTATGAATATTAATATTGTTACTGTATTCAAGTCTTTATGTAAATGATCAAGTAAAAATATAAGAAATTCATGGGCATCCTGTTGTTGATTTTCTAAATAAGTTAATTGTATATGACCAATTACTTGTTTAAATGGTGCTGGTGTTAAAACATTATATTCACCACAATATAATAAATATAATAAATTTAAATATTCACTAGCTATTATTTGTTTTGAAACTGATAGATTATTCATAGTAAGATCTTTATCATTTTCATTTAACAAAAAATAATTTGTTAATAATGAAGTAAATAATAATGATTGCAAAACAGAATTCATATAACATGTTCCACCAAGATTTTTCAATCCACATATATTTCCTACTTGTCGAAATTCATTTGAAATTGTTTGATAATCTTCTGCAATTTGTTTACGTAGTACACCATCATATAGAATAGATTTTCTTATAGATGATTGATCTATTATGGAGTTTGTTCTTTTTTGTTTACTATTATAAAATTAATAAATTATAATCAGTTCTCCGAAGATGATAACAAAATAGTCTGTTGAAACCGTTAGAGATTAAACAATGAAAAAAATCTGCCTTCATAGATTTTCATCTGCAAATCAATACCATTAATTGAAAATAAATATTTTTTTTACAGAATACAAAACCTATAGTGCAAAAGTCTTGATACAAAATATTCACTCATTTTTCGACAACTGATTAGAGCCAAATGCAATTAGTTAGAATCAGACTTTTTTGAATATGTATTCAGAATTTCTTTCTAAATCTATGAAATTCAAAATGTGAAAATAGGTTTCTTTTTTATGATTCAGTTTGCTCTACAAAGCGTGCTATTTATTTTTGCATGACAGATTTTAAAACATTTTTGAAATAGTAATTGCCGATTTTCATTGAACTTAGTGCTTTAATGATATGAAATTTTGCTTATTGTAATATCTCATTTTATACAATAATATTAAGTTGAAACTATTGCAAGACATAATTTCGGACTTTTTTCATAAATTTACGTATAGTTGTTAAACTATGCTCACTTTTCTATTATTTCAAGTCTATAATTTTGAGAATAATTATTATCCCAAAATTCTTCTCCTTGAACAGCATAACAAATAGCAAATGAAACATTCATTGATAATGTAGAATTTTGTAATGATGATGATAATAATATTAATAATTTATCTTTTGGTATAGTTAATTTAAATTGAAATGAGTCTGTATTACTATCTGAATAATACATTGAATGATATGCATTTATAATAGAAAAATTTTTCCATTTATCAATTGTAAAACGTACAGAAACTTTTTTATGAAATGAACAATTGTTCACACGAATAGTTCCATATGCTGTAATATTACGAACAAAAATATTTTCAAGTACAACTTGTTTTTCATAAACTTGTTGAAGAAGATTTGTTGGACGTTGAAAATTTTTTGGCATACATAAATAATACTCTCGATTTATACATTGTTTTGGATTTGAAGTAGTCATCGTGATTTAAAATGAAAATTCAATAGATATACATCCTAATGACTATCTAAAATAGAATTTTATTACCGGTATTATTAAAATTATTCAATGGTACATTTACAGATACTACGAATTTGAAATAGAAGGCGATATAAAACTAATTATCTATTGATATTCATTCGGTTAGTTAAATGTATTCATTGATTTCTTTCCTTTCAGGAAGAGCATTATGACACGGTGTGGCATTATATCCACATATGCTACCACTAATCCAAGAGGAAGGAATTTACCTCCTGCCATTAGACACAAGAGATATTATTTATTCACTTGGAAAAGATACTTACTATCTAATCTATTGTTTAAATTGATCTAAATAATAGAAGAAAAATTATTCTTTTTAAAATAAAATGCTCATCCTTCAATTTGTTATTCTATTTTTAATTAAATAAAAATTATTTATTCTAAAATGATTTGTTACTGAATTCAAAACGGAAAAAGCTACACAACTCGATTTCGACTTCTCTTCTTTTGTCCTTCTCAAATGAATTTTTTTTGCTTTATATATAATAATTTGTGGGAAAATTATTATTTGAACGATTGCTTTTTCTTAACATGAGTCATTAGAATGTCTCAAGAACAAAAAAAATGATAGTCGTTATGGAATCAAACCAATAATAAATTTTATTTTGGTGAGTCGCTCGAAAATGACAAAGAATAAGTTGATTGTGGCTTTAATATGAAAAACAAAAAACATTCGCTAGGTTTTTGTTTATCTATATTAACACCACATAGAAGACAGTCGAACTGATAATTGTTGTTAGTTGATAAGATAGTAATAAATAATCTATTTTGTATTATTGTGTATAAAGTCTAACAACAAAATAAATTAAAAATTTGTTTTCATAATCACAAAATAAAGTTCATATCTTACGTAATTTTACAATTCGAATGGACAAATTCTAAGGCTTTAATCATACACAATAATAAAAAACATGACAATTAAATTTATCTTATTCATTTCAATCTACAAATATTATTCATATGAATCATTTGGAATTCCAAGCAAACCGATAATATATTCAATAAGCAAAGTATTTTAATTTGTTTTTCTTCTATCTTTGCACTTCGAATCACTTAAATAAAGTGTGTGAACATTTTTTTTTTTCTTACTCTGCCGTTCGGCGCCCTCTTAAATAGATGTTCGTTGCTTGTCATCACTTTCCATCCAATTGAAATGATGAATTACCTTTTTTCTCTCTATTCTGTTGTTCCTTTCTTTCCATTCTCTTTTTTCTTCATGTGCACCTATTTTGACGACTACTCTTCTGATTGTTCATAAGAAAAAACAAATTTCTGTAAGTTACAATACCGAATATATATATCATATCAAACTTTTTATTCATCTTATCTTTTAAAATTATATCAAATTATATATAATTATCTTCATTTTTTTTTTTAAATTCCAAATAATATTTATTCCACGAACACATTAGTACATGTATATAGTTATATATTTCCTTTCAGCGACCAATTGATCGATCTCTCACCGTTTTGTTCTCTCCTCTCGATGGATGGACGATGTCGTTCTACGCCTGCATATAGATACATATAAATGAAATCGAGGAGAAGCATTGCTCTCTTTTTTTTTTCTTCTACTCGTTCTTCATGTCTCTTTCTCTTGCACATCATTAAAATCATCATGTATATTTTTTTTTCCTCTCTCTTTCTTCTAGTTTTAAGATGTACGGTATGAAATTGCGATTGATTAGTTTATCATTTTATTCTTTGAATTTTTATTTGTAAATTTTCAATGAAAGTTATTATAAATTTTGGTGAAAAAAAAGTTGTCGTACCATGTGGTATTGATGGCGATATATCTATACGGGAATTAATTAATGTAGCAACAGCAAAATATTGTAAATTGGTAAGACGAGTATTAAATTACTATTGTTAGACAGATTGATAGTAGTCATTAGTACACAAGAACATATGTCTATATGTGTCGATCAAAGTAACTTTGTTTTTTTTTTGTTTTCCTAGTCATACAATAATGGTTCAGTTTTGAACAGTGATCAAGTTCAATTAAGACTTAATAATGGTGCTGTTGTAGATCCTGATGATCGAGTATGTGATGTAGTTGATGATCGAGAAGAGGTAAGAAAGTATATTTATATATGTACCTTTTTTTTTTTTAATTAAAAATTGATTTAGTTATTCGCTACTATTGAGTGTCAACAATTAAATTATCCATCATATACAACTATAAATAGCAATGGTGATTTATCTTCAAGTATAACGAGTTCAAATTTATCATCAAGTTTATCCGAACATGATCGTTTAATGGTACAAAATTCAAATAATCGTCATGAAGTGATTGTGACCGATGCTGATCTTCGAAGTATGTCTAATCTCTTTATAAGTCGTTATCAATCTCTTGTAGTTTAAATAGTAAAATATAAAAGAAAACGAAATATGAACTTGTAAATCATGTTCATGTCAAAAGCATTTAAAACACAAAATGAAAAGAACAATGATGAAGAAATTTGAATACACACACGTCCTCTTATCACCTATATGTGTGTGCGTATGTGCGTGACGATTGATGAATGAGATAGGCCAAATTACATGTTAAGGTTGTCGTAAAATAAAAAAAAAAAAAAAAAACAACATGTCCCTGAGAACGAGTTAGAGTGCTATTACATCAGGTCAACGTGTGAAAAGAGAAAAGAAAAATGTAGGAGAAAATGAAACGTTTTGAAAATGAAAATTTTACACATCACTGTTAGACATTTTGTTTTATTGATGATTGATTGTTTCGGTGATGGTCTCTGACCTCTCTCTTTGTGTAAACATTATTGAACTCATTTTCTTCTTGTACAGAAAGAGAAATGATGAGAATTTTATATTTTCTCAGCAAGTAGTGTCAAATTACTACAATAATGACGTGAGCACATGACAAATATGTGATCATATAAATAGCAGGTGGTCTGGCACATATTTTGCAATGTATTCACTCGTTTAATTTTTATTATATATAGTATTACATATTTAACAAGCTATTAAATTTCGTATGCAAAACTTTTTTTGTGGTAGTTTCTGGTCAAATAAGTTTGTTAAGTATATATACAAGGCATATAGTCTAAAACAACAAATATAAAATATTTCTTTTGTTTTATACCTTGAATCGAACCTATATGATTCGTTGAGAGTACCAGAACGAAGATCAAACTAATATATAAAGAAAAAGAAATTGATAAATTTGATTAATACATTTTTTATTTCATACTATGAATCAATCTCTATTTTTTTTGCTATTTAAACCCATACTTCTATTTGACATATATTAAGTATTTGTAAACATGTATGTGAACAGAATAGCAAAAGCAAAGACAGAAAAAGAAAACGTTTTTTTTTCTTCTTTTCCTTCTTTTTTTTTGCAGCTCGATCTTTACGTGTTAAAGACGATACAAATTCAAATTCACAACAGGTAAAAAAAAAAAAAAGATTCCTATTTGTATAAACATTCTTAACATATTTTTGGTTATAGTCAATATCACAACAATCATCATTTAATAACAAAATAAAACATCGACCAATGTATTCACCACCAACACATGATGCAACAAAATTTCAATCATCCGATGATACTATTGGAATGTATAATATTTATATAGATGAAATAACTGGTGATAAAATATTTTCAATTATATTACCAAAAGAAAATAGTCCATTAGGTATACATGTTATACCTTATAATGATGATGAACAACAAGTTAATGGACTTATTTTACAGAATATTGAAGCTGATGGACGTATTAAGCGACAAGGTATATTACAATTAAATGATCGAATTATTGAAATAAATCGAATAAATATTGAACGATGTTCATTTGATAAGTAAGAAAAATTTAAAATTTTAATATTTAAAAAAAAATTATTTTAGAGCTCAATTAATATTTCGAACAGCATTACTTGAACCAGAACTTGAATTAAAAATTATTCGAAGTATTAAAAAATCATCAACATCTAAATCAACATTATTTCATTCAAATACTAATAAAACACGTTCAACATTATCTGAAATTAATCAAAATAATGATCTATTATTTGTTGATAATGATTCAAATATGAATTCATTAAATACAAGACGTTTAGGAAAAATTATTAAAATTCCACTTGTTAAAGGTATAAAAATTTTCAATCTTCTTCATAGAATAAAAGTTCATTCTAATATAAATCATCGAATAGATTAAATTATAATTTCATCATCTCAAATTTATTGAATCTTGATCTTTGAAATATTAGTTAAATAATTTATTTTTATTTTTATTTTTTTTAATAAGGAAATGATGGTCTTGGTTTTAAATTAGCATCACGTGACAATCCAACCGGTGTTGCCAATCCAATATATGTTAAAACAATATTTCCAAAAGGTGCTGCTATTGAAGATGGACGTTTACAACGTGGTGATCGTTTATTAACAGTTAATTCAATAGATGTTACACAAATGTCATTACAAGAAACAGTTGGTTTATTACGTGAAACACGTATTGGTGATACTGTTGAAATATGTATATCAAGACAACGTGATGGATCATTACCACAAGATCTAGTAAAGAAGAAAAAAAACTGTTTTTGATTAAAGAAAAAATAATGTTTTTTTTTGTCTTTGTTTTTGAAGATGAATGATGAAATACATATAACTGATATTAAAAATGAAATTAAACCACATATAATGACATTTGATATACCATTAAATGATACATCATCAGCTGGTCTTGGAATAACATTAAAAGGAAAAACATCTATTATTGATGGACAATCTATTGATTTAGGAATATTTGTTAAAAGTATATTAACTGGTGGTGCTGCATCTCGAGTAAGTTTAATCAAAAATTTTTTTGAAATCGATTTGATAAAAATCTAAAATAATAAATTTGCAAAGAATGATCTTAACGGTTCCCTTGTTTGAAGAAAAATTTTATATTAAATTTCTTTTTTCGTTGTGTTTTTTTTTAGGA